CTCCGTGCGTGTGTGTGTGTGTGGACATCCACGTCTGTATAAAGGCTGTGTGTCTGCGCCTGTGTCTCTCTGAAAATGTGAGTGTCTGACTGAATCTGTATGTGATGACACGGGGGTGTTGTGTGTCTGCGGAAGTGCCAGGGTAAACCAATGTGGGCACGGAGTTAAGTGTCTGCTCTGTGCGAATGTCTAGATGAGTGTGTAACTCCAGACATCTGCCTGTTTGTCTCCGTGTGTCTGAGGGTAACTAGTGTGCACATTCCTGTGTGTACGTGCATCTGCTGGTTCTCAAGGTTTGTAGGACCTTGGCAAGTTTGTTCATGGTCTGGTGTGTGTGGAAAGGAGTGTGTACGTGTCTGTGCATGTAGGCCCGGGTGTGTGTGTGTCTGTCTCTGGGTTGTGCGTGTGTGTCAGTGAGTGTGTAAGTGTAGTTGTGTGTCTCGGGTGTTTGTCTCTGGGTGTGTGAGCGTGTACTGACTGTGAGGGAGGTGCTTTGTGGGCCTGCGGTGCCTGACTGTTGGTCCCCAACTGCGCAGCTGTGGTCACCCTCAAGTGTGAGTGTACATCGCTGCCAGTGTGTGTTTGTGTGTCTGGGTGTGGGAGTGGCGCCGCCCACTTCCCCTGAGTTGGTCACCGAGGCCACAGCTGTCTGTCTCAGGGTGTCTCCAGCCCTGCGGCTCAGGGCCTTTAATTAGCGGCCGGGTTGTGTAGGGGAACCGCCGAGTGTCTGCCCCTTCCTCCTCCCGCCGCCGGCCGAGCCTTTGTCTGCGCTCCTGCCCTTCGGGCAGCGGCTGCCTCCTGCCTGCCCCACCAGATGTGCAGTGCCTGGAGGAGGCCGGAGGCCCAGGCTGGTGGGGCCTCTGCCTGGGCAGCCTCGGCCTTGACCTCTGCAGGGAGGCTCCGCAGCCCTGTCCCCGAAGCCGGGCCCTGGAAGTCTGGGTGTAGAGCAGCGGGTCCCTCCAGGATCCCTGGGATGGGATGGAGCCTTCGTTTCCAGAGGCCGTTTCCGCCGGCATTTCCTCCTCCAGCCTCCAGCAGGCTGGCACCCTCCCCCATGCTGGGCCACCTCCCTCCTGCCTTCTGGGAGGAGGCGCTAGGGGGAACGGCCAGGCCTGGGTACACACACACACACAGCCACACGCAGGGTCACATGGGCAGACACACAGTCACACACTGTACACAGAGTTATATATACCCAGTTATATAGCCATCCACAGTCATGCACATGGAGTCACCCACTGCACATCACAGTGTAGGTCCCCTGCTGACATCCTGTGAACCCCAGCCAGGCTCAGACCCTGGGATCCCCTACCTGCCCCCAAGCCCCCACTTTCCCCCAGAGCCACCAATTGGCTCGTGGTCCCCCTAGTGCCCTGGGCAGGTCACACCTCCCAGCCACCCCAGGAGCTGGACCACAGTTCCAGAGACTCTTCCTGGCCTCACCCTGCCAGACCCCTTGTGCCCTCCTCCTCCGGACTCCTCCCCTCCCATCCTTCACTTTGGTGACTCCCCTCCCCCGGCCCCTCCCACCTATGCTGGGTCCTGCTGCCCTGTTTCCCCTTCCCCTCTGCCCCATATCTGCCAGCACGGAGGGAATGGAAGGTTGTTGGGAGGAGGGGCCTGAGGATGTTGGAGAGAGGGGCGTGGGAGGAGAGGCCAGGACCAGGGCCACGGAGCCACTGGGAGCCACTGCAGGAGGCAGCTTGGCAGTGTAGTGAAGGGGACAGGGAGCTCCAGCCTCACTGGCGAGGAGAATGCTGCTGCCTGGGCATGGGGGGTGGGGGTTAAGGCAGGAGGGGGCTTGAGGGACCCCACACAGGAAGGGCTTTGATCCTTGAGCTAGTCAAGGATGGGATAGGGAGGAGGGCCAAGAGACAGAGGTCAAGAGGAGGGAGCTTTGTGGGGTGGGGAAACAGAGGGAGGATGAAAGCCAAGAGGAGGTTTCCCCAGGGCCAGGGAGAAGGGCAGGGGGTCCTCAGTGACCCCTCAACTCCAGACCCAGCCAGCTCCTCCTCACTGCACTCTCCCGCCCTGTCCAGGCTCCAAAGAAGAGGCACTGAGGCCCAGAGAGGCTCACGCACACGGGTTCGACACTGCACCACCGATCGACGCCCCCAAAAGGTAAAAATAAAAGAGACAGAGAGAGAGAAACCCAAAGGATAAACATCGGCCCAGCTGAAAGGAGCAGCAGGGTCCCAGAGTGGGAGTGAGCTCCCCATCATTGGAGGGGTCCAATTACAAGCAGGGGATGTCAGCTTCTAAGTCTTGGAGAAACCTGGCTCCATCCCTCAGTTGCCGAACTGCCCTGTTTGGGGATCAACTCTCAGACTTGGCCAGGCTGCAAAGAAAACAAGACGCTGTGTGATTAAGGGGGAAATTGCACAGAGGAGGAGGGTAGAGACGGGAGGGAGGAGGAGGGTTTGGCACTGGGTGGTGGCCCAGGGGTGGTGTCTGCAGCAGGCTGGCCTGGGGCAGATGCTGGAGAAACTTAGACCTGCTGGGCAGGCCTGGAGCTTCAAGGAAGACTCTGAAATGAGAGAAAGCAGGACTGGCAGTGGAGGGTGGAGGAGAGGTCACAGGAACAGAGACTGCGAAGTAGGGGTTCACAGCCCCGCTGGCGGGGTGAGTGGTCCTACTTGGACAGGGGTAGGGTAGGGTCCAGGTGAGGGATGGCTGGGGTTGGGGGAAGGCTAAGCACTGGCCTCAGGTTTAACCCGGGTTGAAAATTCGTGCTGACCACCTTCAAGTGTGTCCCATGCCAGCCTCCCCTAGCTGCCCTCCTGCTCTGGTCCTCGGGGTCCTAGGTCCTCACCAAGCCTCTCCCTCTGCCTCCGGGCCTTTGCCCCTGCCGTTCCTCTGCCTGGAGCACCATCTCCTGTCTCTTCACGTGATGGGTTTCTTCCCTTATGTCCTTCCCACCTCTGATTTGGTGCCTCCCTGTTTTTGTTTGTTGTTGTTTTGTTTTGTTTAATGGAGGTACCGGGGATTGAACCCAGGACCTTGCACAGGCTAAGCACAAGCTCTACCACTGAGCTATATCCCACTCCCTCCCTGTTATTTCTTATAAAAAAAAAAAAACTTGTCACAATCTGAGTTTCTCACGTTCGTTTGTCTCTTTTCATGTCTGTCGTCTGCCACTCTCGGGAGACTAGCCCCACGGGGGTGGGGAGCACAGGGACTGTATTCTATACACAGTCATTACCCTATGAAGGAATCCTCAGGGCTGCTGTGGAAATGAAATGAACTGAAATAGTGTGAAGATGTTTGGCCATTAGCTGTCACATAGTAGGTGCTTGTGGAGTCAAGTTCCTAAGAACGTAGGGAGGAGGATGCAGGGGTTGGGGGGTCGCGTCAGACAGGTAGGCAATAGGTAAAGAAGTGTGTTCAGAGTCTTCAAACCGGGGGAGATGTGCTGAGCATCCCCAGTGCTGGCTGCAGGCGCCCTTGTCCACCTGGCAAGGGGCCTTGGCACTGGCTCTGCTGGGCAGCAGGACCAGAGCCCCCTGACCCAGCTTCCCCCTCCCAGGAGCCCAGTGATGCTGCGCAGGCTGTGAACAGGGAAGGCGGCGCTGTGGGGGCTGCCGGCAGCCGGGGCTGGGGAGAGACATGTGGACACGTGGCCTCTATGGCTCCCGCCTGCCAAATCCTCCGCTGGGCCCTCGCCCTGGGGCTGGGCCTCGCGTTCGAGGTCACACATGCCTTCCGGTCTCAAGGTAGGGGTGATTCAAGGCTGGTGGTGGTGATGGAGCAAGGAAGGGGAGGCAGAGGGGTCACTAGGGCTGGGATGGCAGTCATGGTAGGGGGGGCCCTGGGGCAGCCAGGCCAGGATCTTGTAGCAGGTGGCCTGGATTCAGGGGCCCCTGAGGACAGCATCACCTGCCCTGCAGCCAAGCAGCCGGGACCCGGGGATCCTTCCCAGGGCCCACCCCAGGCCTTTGACCCTCATCCGCAGATGAGTTCCTGTCCAGTCTGGAGAGCTATGAGATTGCCTTCCCCACCCGAGTGGACCACAACGGGGCTCTGCTGGCCTTCTCGCCCCCAACCACCCGGAGGCAGCGTCGGGGCACGGGGCCCCTAACAGAGTCCCGCCTCTTCTACAAGGTGGCCGCCCCCAGCACCCACTTCCTGCTGAACCTGACCCGCAACCCCCGCCTCGTGGCAGGGCACGTCTCCGTGGAATACTGGACTCGAGAGGGCCTGGCCTGGCAGAGGGCTGCCCGGCCCCACTGCCTCTATGCCGGCCACCTGCAGGGCCAGCCCAGCACCTCCCACGTGGCCATCAGCACGTGTGGGGGCCTGGTGAGTGGAGGGTTCTGAGAGGCAGGGGGGATGCCCACAAGTCTAGGAGTTAAGAAAACCACTTACAGTGAAGTAAGTCAGCCAAAGAAAGACAAATACTATTATAATATCACTTATATGTGGAATTTTTTTTAATGATACAAATGAGCTTATTTACAAAACAGAAATAGACTCACAGGCATAGAAAACAAACTATGGTTACCAAAAGGGAAAGGGCAAGGTAGGGATAAATTAGGAGCTTGGGATTAACATATACGCACTCCCATAAATAAAAGAGATAAATAACAAAGTCCTACTGTACAGCACAGGGAACTATATTCAATATCTTATAATAACCTATAATGGAAAAGAATCTGAAAAAGAATGAATATGTGTGTGTGTGTGTGTGTAAAACTGAATCACTTTGTTGTACACCTGAAACTAACACAACATTGTAAATCGACTATACTTCAATTAGAAGAAAAAAGAAAAAAAACATACAGGTCAGAGAAGAAATCACAGTGGACAATTTTTGAACATTTTGAGCTAATCAAAAGGATTAGCTATTTTAGGATGCAGCTAAAATAGCTAATCAAAAGGATTAGCTATTTTAGGATGCAGCTAATATAGTTGGTGGAGGAAAATGTATAGCCTTATGGCAGGCTGAAAATTAATGAGCTGAACATCCATCTCAAGAAATTGAAAAAGGCATTGCAGTGTAAACCCAGTAAGACAGGGGGATGAAATCATAAAGACAGAGGGACCCAGGGGTCCTGGGAACCAGAACCCGACCCAAGCCCTCTGTCCCTCTTCCCAACCGCCAGCATGGCCTGATTGTGGCAGATGAGGAAGAATACTTGATCGAGCCCCTGCAAGGTGGACCCAAGGGGCACCGCGCCCCAGAGGAGAGTGGCCCCCACGTGGTGTACAAGCGTTCCTCCCTGCGTCACCCCCACCTGGACACAGCCTGTGGAGTGAGAGGTACGTCTGTCTTTCTGGGGATGGGCCAAGGGGCCGCACAGTATCTTTGCCTTGAGGCAAAGGGAGGCAGTACCTCTCTCCATTCGGACAGCCAGCAGGCAGCTACGTGCATGGAACAGTGCAGACAGTCAGCAGAGTCGTAGGCAGCGGAACAGCCCATCCATCACTGCCGTAGTCCAGTGGCCCAGCAGTGAGTGAGACAGGCAGCTGGACAGCCAGATAGGTGCTCTGGTATAAAACTGTCTTATCACCAGGATTACTGTCGGATCAGACAGTTAAGCAGCGGAGTGGGGCGGTGGTAGTAGATACTGGAGCAGTGACACAGCAAAAATACCAGCAGCACTTAGCTACCATTGGGCAGATCAGATTAAAAAGCAGACTTGCAGGAGGACAGTTGTAATGACAGACAGTTAGAGGATGGGAAGGAAGAAAAAGAGGCAGCAAAATATTTACCAGGGTAATCATACAACTAGAAGAATGATCTCTGTCCAGGGGAAATTCACAGCCACTGACACATTCAATTCATTGCATCATCTGAGAGTCCAGGAGGAGGACACCATGGCAGACACACAACCACACTGTTGTGCAAATAGAAAAGTGGATGGTGTCATAGTTGGCTGGGCAGTGGGACAGACAGGCCGGAGTACGCTTAGGGTTTGGATTGTTCTGCAGCCAGACAGGCAGCCCTTTGAGTCAAAAGTTGAACACAGAGAAGGCCAAGGAGTTACAAGTACACTGTTCTAGCAGTGATGCAGGCTGCTACACGTACAGCGTCAGGTGGTGGAATTGGTGGGGACTCGTACAGCCATGCTGATTGGGACAGATGCTAGGCAGCTGTTCAGCCAACCAGTTAGGCAGTGGCGCAGCCACATCATAGTAGAACCAGGCATTCATTGGACAGCTCAAAGTAAAATAGCAAGGTTTTGACAGCCAGACAGCCCATCAGACAGGGAGGTAGATGGTAAAACAAACAGAATGACCAGAAATTGTCCATCCAGATGAGAAACCATGGAAGGGGCGGCCGTGGTGGTTGCGCACTCTGAAACCACCCCCTGCCCGGCCCCTCGGGAATGAAACGGAGCGTGGCCAGCCCGGCCTGAAGCGCTCGGTCAGCCGGGAGCGCTATGTGGAGACCCTGGTGGTGGCCGACAAGATGATGGTGGCCTACCACGGGCGCCGAGACGTGGAACAGTACGTGCTGGCCATCATGAACATTGTAAGTGCCTCCCCCTCCCTGGGCATGGAGCCCCAAGAAGCCCTCTGAAGCCAGAGGTCAGAGAAAGGGGTGTCCATCCCCCTATGGCCTCAATGTCTAACCTGAGGCCTGAGAAACAGAATGGAGAGGGGACAGGATGAAAAAGAAGGGCTGTTTGTGGCAAGAAGTGAGAAGTAGCCTCGCACAGTGGCTGAGAGCACGGGCCTTAGAGCTAGCCAGCCTGGCCTGGAATCTCAGCTCTGCCACTTTTTAGCTGTGTGCCCTTGGACAAGTTACTGCCCCATGTTTGCCTTGGTTTGCCTGTCTGTGAAATGGGTATAATAGTAGTACCTCCTTCGTAAGGCAAAAGTGGATGCAGTTCACTGATAAAGCACTTAAAGCAGCAGTTAGCACAGGGTAAGTGCCCTATCGTTACTTGCGCGATAGAAACAACTTGCGGGTACTTGGTAAGGTTAGCGCTACACACGTGGGTGTGCATCTGTCTGCAGTGCGGCACTCGCTCGAGCGCCTCTATAAATTTGTACAGGCTGACCTCACTGACCCACGCTCAGTTAATGCCCATCCTAGATCTCCATCAAGACTCTGGACCTCTCTGAGCCTCAGTTTCTGCCTTTGTAAAATGGGGGTTGTCATAGTACCTATCACAGGCGGTAAGAGTTGGTGGGAAAGAAGCCAGCTAGAACACTTGGCACCTAGTAAGGACTTGATGAGAGATGCTGTTGTTTTGCTGAAGTGAAAAGGAAAGAGAAAAAGTTCAGCACAGACAGATGGCCCAGTAGGTTGCCATCATGTCGTATCTGATGCCACTGCTTTCTGCTGCCGTCCCTGGGGCTTCCCAAATTTCCTCAAACCTACCAGGGTTTCTGGGGGTTTCACACGGAACAGTGATGGTTCAGGGCTCCAAGATCATTGCACAGAGTAACCTGCATCACCTGTGACCCCACACCCCTCAGCCACTTCCTCCTCCCCTCTGACCACTGTCTGCAGAGTTTCCTGCCCCTACACATCCAGCTTCCAGTGGTGATGCTCAAATTGATACCTTCAGGCAGCATGGAATGAGGCCAGATGTGCACACCCTTCTGGCCACCTCTGGACAGAGACAGCCAGTGGGTGGGCAGGGAAGGATGGAGGCCAAGTAGACAGACTACCTGAGCGGGGCTGAGTCAGAAAGAAACAGCCTGGCAGGCAGGCTTAGCCAGACTTGAATCCCAGTTACGGTGCCGACCAGCTGTGCGTCCTAACCTGTCTGAGCATCAGTGTACTCGTCTGTAAAATGGGCATGCTAATGATACCTCCTTGTGTGACAACATATGCAATGGGCTTAGCCTGAAGCCTGACTGACACACATTAGGCACTTGACTGAAGCAAGCTGTTGTCACCAGTTCACCTTTTGTTTTCTACTCTGGGCCCCTCTTAAGACTCGGTCTCTCTTGTTTCTTGGAGGTCAGGTTGCCAAACTTTTCCAGGACTCAAGTCTGGGAAACATCGTTAATATCCTGGTAACACGCCTCATCCTGCTCACGGAGGACCAGGTGCGGGGACTCCACCGCCTATCCCTCCAGCCAGTGCCGCCCGCCCCTCCCCACGTGGCCGGCACCCATATACCTCACTCTGTCCATTCTCAGCCCACCCTGGAGATCACCCACCACGCCGGGAAGTCCCTGGACAGCTTCTGTAAGTGGCAGAAATCCATCGTGAACCACAGTGGCCATGGCAACGCCATTCCTGAAAACGGCGTGGCCAACCATGACACAGCGGTGCTCATCACGCGGTGAGGGGAGGGGACAGCTCCAGGAGGACTTGGGCCAGGGGACCAGTGGTCCAGGTCCAAGCAGGGGTCACTTCTGCTGGGAGATGGAAGAGGCTGGGACCGTTCAGCTGCTCCCTTGGGGATCCAGGGATGGGGAGGGGCCTCTTGGAGCCTGAGAAGGTGGGGAGGTGGGTGTTGGGCCGTTTAGGCCCTGATGTGTCCTTCACTCACTCTGTCATTCATTCGGTCGATCACCCATGCACCCCAGCCTCCCCAAGGCCAGCTGGGGGAAAAGCGTGACGCTTCGGGTCAGAGGCTGGTAGCACCTCCCAGACAGAACTCAACCCCCAGAGACGGGCAGGGTGGCATTAGCAGGTCTGAAGCAGCCCGCCCCCCTCACGGCCCCCCTCTCCTTCCACAGCTATGACATCTGCATCTACAAGAACAAACCCTGCGGCACACTAGGTACCTGGGCCCCCTAGGTTTCAGGCACCTGTGGAGGCAGTGGGCTGGGTGACACTGGCCCTGGTGGGGGTGGGGACTGGGACCTGGCAGAGCTGACCGGGCCAACAGACACAGCCCTGAGCCCCCAGCCCCACCCCACATGCCCGTTTCCCAGGCCTGGCCCCCGTGGGCGGGATGTGCGAGCGAGAGCGAAGTTGCAGCATCAACGAGGACATCGGCCTGGCCACGGCGTTCACCATCGCCCACGAGATCGGACACACGTGAGGCTAGGGCACAGAGAGGGGCGGGCGGGAGGAACTAGACAGGTCCCTTGGCACCCAGCAGAGCTGACACTCCTCTCCCCAGGTTTGGCATGAACCATGATGGCGTGGGGAACAGCTGCGGGGCCCGTGGCCAGGACCCGGCGAAGCTCATGGCTGCGCACATCACCATGAAGACCAACCCATTTGTGTGGTCCTCTTGCAGCCGTGACTACATCACCAGTTTTCTGGAGTGAGGACATACCCACCCGTCCCGCCCAGAGGCTCACGCTCCTGTTGCAGGGCAGGGGGTTGCAGGGGTTGGGTGGTCACCGGAAATCGGGGTCATGTCACTCACAGGGCTGCTCCCTGGGACCCCCACCCAGCCAGGATCCCTGAGCTCTTGGCCTGCAGTGCCCCATATCCTTGCAGCATGACAGCTGCCTTCATCTCACCACAGCTCAGGCCTGGGGCTCTGCCTGAACAATCGGCCCCCCAGACAGGACTTCGTGTACCCAACGGTGGCCCCTGGCCAGGCCTACGACGCAGACGAACAGTGCCGCTTCCAGCATGGAGTCAAATCGCGTCAGTGTAAATACGGGGTAGAGAGAGCCTTCCTGCTTTCCTTCCTGGGAGGGGAGGGGGCTGCCGCCACCAGGGTTGGTGGGGGCACAGGGGTTGGGAAACTCCATGTGGGAACCCCCACACACAGGCAGTGGGCGAGCTGGGAGGGGAGTGAGCCCTGGTGGGGGATGGGAGGGACAGAGGCGAATAGGGTCATGCCAATGTCACACGCAATCACAATTATGGGAGTAAGAATGGGATCTTCTGGTCCTCCAGACCCCTGTTTGGGGAGCTGAGCTGTGGAGACCCTGGGGGGTCCACCTTCTGCTGCAGCAGGACTAAAGTCCCAGGATCTCAAACTGGTCCATTTTTAACCAAACATCCAGACTTGGTGGAAATAGTTTCCCTAGGGATGAACCATCTTTCCCACTTGGCAAAGAAGTGGACAGAGCCTTCCAGGGACACCCTGTCTTCATTCCCTACATCCCCCACCGACTGGTTCACAAGATCTCTTGGCCCCAGTCCTTGGCTGAACACGCTCTGAGCCTCCTGACCACTCCCCGCTCTTTCCTGAGGTTTAGACTCAGCTCCCAAAGTCCCATCCACGTATCCATGCCTAAAAAGTGAGCTGCGGTGGAAGGCCTCACTCCTGGGAGGAGCTGGAGATTGCTAGCTTCCCTCTTCAGGCTCCTCCACTGCCCACCTGCCCCAGTTCCCTGAACACACTCCCCAACTCCTCACAGCCTGAGCCCTAGAAGCCCAGCCCCAGCCCCAGTCCTCCATGCCCTCGAGACCCAAAAGATCAGTTTGAATGACTGTGTCCAAGCTAAGGCCATATTAACTGGAAACAAGGAGCAGGCAGCTGTTAGAATGTCCTCCCTTTATTTCAGTGCAAGACAAGGAGACAGACCCTGGATCAATTTATATTTAATCCATTCTTGCCACCCCACCCCACCCCAAACTTGGCTGGTAACTGCAGCATCCTCTAATGAATTCAGAAACTACTCTTAAGCATCTGCTGTGTCCCGGGTATCCTAACAACAAAGGTTGACATTTATTGACCACTCACTATATGCCAAGCGTGTGATATGTATCATCTCATTTAAACTCCTGACAATCCTATCCTCCCCACATTACAGGTGAAGGAACCGAGGCATAGAGGGGATGCCTTGCGCAAAGTCACAATTTGAGAGTACAGGCAGAGCTGGGATTTGAATCCAGTTTCTCTATGACTACAGATTTTATAAAGGGGTGGGGGAGGGGAGCAAGTGCAAGCATATCAGGCACGGACCAGTGCTGGCTGTATGTTGAATTGATTCTTCTTTTATTTTTCTAAGGAACATCTTCCTGGCCCTCCTGGCAAAGGGAGAGATTATTGGCTACATGTAAATTGCTTAATCTGTATAAAGAGCTGGGCCTTTTGTCTGGTCCAGGGATAGTTGTGGTCATTATTACTCATTAACAGGGCATTTATGCAAGCCCTTGCGTATCTAGTCTGTCACATGCCTCTCAGCCATATGTAGGCAAGGCCTATCTTGTAGAAGAGGTAACAGGCCCGGAGAGAGGAAGTGTGTTGCAACTCAGTGGTGGAATTGAAGTCTCCCGAGAGTGGCCCAGGACCCATCCATACATACCATGGCGCCATGTGGAGAGGAGGGAAAGCAGGGCTGGAATAAGCAGTTCTCTTTAAGAGGTGTCAGAAGTGGGATCAGGCCAGTGATATTTTTACAAATGGCCAGGTGGACACAAGCCAAGCGAAGCCAGGAAACCAGGCTGAGTTTTTAGCTGAGAAGCATCCTCTGAAGGGGCAGAAGGCAGGGACTCTGGAGGATGTTGGAGGGAGCAGGTTTGAGGACAACCCTCCAAACTTCTCATGTGTGTGCAAGTGTCTCTCAGAGACTGACACAGGTAAGGTCCCTTCCTACAGCAGTTGATTGGTCCAATCCCAAATCTTAAAAGCTTGGAAGGATCAGGTTCAAAGAAGAGATTACATGTGATTATAGAAAGGGGACAGGAGGATCTCCACTTCTCAGAGGAAATACTCTGGGAGGTAGGGCAGGGTGTAGGCTAGAGGGTCGGATATGGCCACACCTGAACCCACTGGGGTTTGTCCAGGGATATTAACCTGGACCTAAAGGGTCAGAGTGACTCCCTGGGACTGGGCCATCCCAAGCAGAATTCAGACAGGAAGAAGATGGGCTGATTTTTCACTGGGAGGAGTAGAGGACTGTCCCACACAGACCCAGCCTGGCCTTATCCCCTCTCAACCCTCCATAGATTAAAAGCTTTGGTAACTTCCCCAGTTTGGGGGGAGGCGAGGGGATGAGAATTACCAGCTGGGGGGAGGGGTGTTAATTAAGGATGCGGCCCTTGAACCATCATCCTGGCCTGATTTTTCAGAACCACTGCTCTTCCATGGACCGCTTTGTCCATTCTAGAAAGGGAAGCCAGAATCCTTCCTCTTCACTCCTTGGCAAGTCCTAAGGTTCCATCTGGAAATTCAGGAGGTGCCAGGGGCTAAATTGTGGAGGGATTAATTAGATCATAGACCGACCCCGCAATTAAAGTTCTGGGTTAGAATTCAGACTACCCCCTTAGTAGCTGTATCATCTCTAGCAAGTGACCTCACCTATCTGAGCCTTAGTTTTCTCACAATAATAGTACCTATGGGAGTTTGTGGCACTCCTGGGTGTTTGACAAATGCGGCTTATAAACAGAAGAGGTCCCAGCCCATGCCCCACAGGGGGGTCCGAAAAGACTTGTTGAGACCCAGGAAAGGAACGCTGGGGCCGCACTGTCAGCAGGCAGTGAGCGGGTCACCGGGGTCCTCCCAAGGAAAGAGGGAGGGGGCGAGCCTGAGCGGGCGCCTTGGCCCGCAGGAGGTCTGCAGCGAGTTGTGGTGTCTGAGCAAGAGCAACCGGTGCATCACCAACAGCATCCCGGCCGCGGAAGGCACGCTGTGCCAGACACACACCATCGACAAGGGGGTGAGCGCCGGCCAAGGGCCTCTACACCACCTGCCGCCGGGCCCCACCATCGGCTCTGGCCACGCCCACTGCCCGCAGGTCCCACCCCTGGCCTGAGGCCACGCCCCGCACGCTTGTCCCAATGTTAGCTTCGCCCCGTTCTGGACCCAATGTTTAGGCCACGCCCCTTCCTTAACCAGCCCCTCGCTCCCAAGCCACGCCCTCATATTACCTGACTGTATCCTGGTCTTCAGACCCCACCTTTGTCCTCCTCCTTCCATCTCACCCCAGGGGGGCTGAGACCTTCGGCTGGGGGGCTGGGGAGGGGGTAGGAATGAGCGCCAAGCCCGCGAGTTTGCAGAGCCCATTCACCCCTCCCAACCCCATCCGCAGTGGTGCTACAAGCGTGTCTGCGTCCCCTTCGGATCGCGGCCGGAGGGCGTGGACGGGGCCTGGGGCCCGTGGACTCCGTGGGGCGACTGCAGCCGGACGTGCGGCGGCGGCGTGTCCTCCTCCAGCCGTCACTGCGACAGCCCCAGGTCAGCCCTCCGGCGCCACATGGCAGGAGAGTGGGAATTGTCCCCGCCCCCTACCCCATTTCTTTCCTGTCCCCCTTCCCCACTTTCAGGCCGACGATCGGGGGCAAGTACTGCCTGGGCGAGAGACGGCGGCACCGCTCCTGCAACACCGACGTGAGTTCCCCCAGCACCCCAAGCCGGGGACCCTCGGTCCCTCTTACACGGGGAAATTAAAGGCATAGATCAGCTTCCAACGATCCGCCGCCGGCCGGCTACCGTCTCCCCGGCGACTTACAGCCGCCACGGGGCCCTCCTTTTCCTGCCCTCCCTGCACCTGCCCTGGGCCCTGGCTCCTTAAAAGTCTTCAAACTCTTGCAGTAGATGCGTCTCCCACCTAGAAATAGTTGCTTGGCCCTCAACCCCCTCGGGCTACAGCGCGCCCCTCCCTCCGCAGCCCGACTTCCGCCCAAAGCCCCGCCCCTGCCCCAAAACTGTGGCCGAGCCCCCGTCACCAAATCCAGTGTCCATGTTTTCCTCCTGAGCTCCTTTCTGACCAAGGACCATGGTCTCCTGTCCAAACCCCCTTCCATATGCCTTCACACTCGAGAAGAGCTTGCTTTGCTCTTTTCTGGGCCAGCTCTCAAGAAAGGTCCCTCGGTCTGAAATCTGAAACCCAGGTGTCATCCTCAGCTTGCCCACAAACTAATGTGTCACCTAATCCCATCTCAGATGCACCTGTTTCTCCAGCCTCCTCCCTGGCCTCCCTGCCTCCAGCCTCACTCCTTCCAACCCATCCCTGCTCTGAGCATTAGTTCTCCAATCCCAGGCATCTGCCCTAACTTCATTCCCCCAACACCTGGCCTCCCTCCCTCTGTCCCCAGGACTGTCCCCCAGGCTCCCAGGACTTCAGGGAAATGCAGTGCTCTGAATTTGACAGCGTTCCCTTCCGTGGGAAATTCTACACTTGGAAGACGTACCGAGGAGGTGTGTGGGGCACTCCCAAGGCCTTGAGGCAGTGGAGGGTGGCAGCAGGTGGAGACAGCATCACGGGGTCTGTCCTGAGCCCTTGCCTCACCCAAGGAGCCAGAGTGCCCTGGATAAGCCTCAGCAGAGCCTGGACTGAACGCTTGGGGCTCCCCTACTCTCTCTGCACAACCTGCCCCTCCTTGTTGGGTCTGGGGTCTGGCCCTCTTGGCCTCACCTCCCCCAGGGAACCACCAGGGAGTCGCAGGATTACGGCATGGGATCTGATGGGGCCGTGCCCCCCCAGGGGGCGTGAAGGCCTGCTCGCTCACGTGCCTAGCCGAAGGCTTCAACTTCTACACGGAGAGGGCGGCGGCTGTAGTGGACGGAACGCCCTGCCGCCCAGACACAGTGGACATTTGTGTCAGCGGCGAGTGCAAGGTGGGAGGGACTCCCGGGGGTGGGGGCGGAGGGAGTGGGAGGTTCCCTGACAACTCCCCCCCACTGTCCTCCCCAGCACGTGGGCTGTGACCGCGTCCTGGGCTCTGATCTCCGGGAGGACAAGTGCCGAGTGTGCGGGGGTGACGGCAGCGCCTGTGAAACCATCGAGGGGGTCTTCAGCTCAGCCTTGCTTGGGGCTGGTGAGAGATTCCTGCTTCCCTCTCAGACTCCACATTTAGTGGCCGAAAGCCAGGCTCACCCCAAGTAGCCAAGGGGCCTGGGAGGGTTGAGGGACCCCAAATGGTCCTCGGGGTACAGCAATGCCCCAGGTCAGGGTCAGGAACTGGCTTGGGCTCTGGTGCCTGAACCTTGGTGATCAATGTGTCCAAGGAGGTGGGGGCCTAAATCTCTCCCCTCCCCCATCCTGAGGGCCTCATGCTGGGTCTTGCAGGTAGAGGGGCGGGGGATCACTCTCCGAGGGGGCTGAGGGTCTATGCTCAAGCCAAAGCTTACTAGGGGCGAGTGTATCTACAGGGTGTGTTGAATTTGAGTGCTTTCCAGCCTTGGGCCTTAGGCAAGAGACCCTAGGGAGTGGTGGCTGGGAAGGTGGGCTTAGGGGACCAAGCCCACCTTAGGGGACACACTAGGGGCCAAGTGTGGAGTTCAGGGGACAGTGTGGGGGTCCAGACAGATAAACCAGTAGTCGTGGGGGGCACAGGTGGAAAGGGATAGAGAGTTCACAGGGGCCCAAGATCATACAGGTAGTAAGTGATAGAACCTCCTGCATCCTTGACTCAGACTGCTAAACCACCACACCCATATCAGCGCCCCATGGTACCCCCTTCTCTGCCCAAGCCCAGCCCAGCTGCTGGTTGGGGGCGTAGGGGGTGGATTAGACCATTCTGGTGGTTAGAGAGGTACAAAAATTTGGATTCAAATCCCAGCCTGGCTACTTCCTAGCCATAAAAGCTAGGTAAATTTCTTTGCCTCTCAGAGCCTCCATTTTGTCATCAGTAAAATGGGCACACTGACACATGTACCTCACAGCTCCAGAGCTCGGGATGCAGGGGGCTGTCCCTGTAAGTGCTTAGCATAGAAATGGTTAGCTGCTATCATCAGGGACCAGGAATAAGGGAGGCAGGCAGGTGCAGGGGACAGACGGAGTGGGTGACATCTGAGCTCTGCTGTCCAGGATACGAGGAAGTCGTCTGGATCCCCAAAGGCTCTGTCCACATTTTCATCCAGGACCTGAACCTCTCCGTCAGTCACGTGGGTGAGCCAGAAGTGGGAGGGTGAGGACTGTGAGTTGGCAGGGGGGTCAGTGTAGCTGCGGTTCTGACCCCTGTGCTGTCCCCCAGCCCTGAAGGGGGACCAGGAGTCCCTGCTGCTGGAGGGGCTGCCTGGGACCCCCCAGCCCCACCGCCTGCCTCTGGCTGGGACCACCTTTCAGCTGCGACAAGGGCCAGATCAGACACAGAGCCTCGAAGCCCTGGGACCCATTAACACATCTCTCATCATCATGGTAACAGCAGGGCTGGGTACAAGGTGCAGAAGGATATTAGCATCCTCGTGGGGACTCAAGCTTGACTTCCATTTGATGCCCGCCCTCTACTCCAGGTGTTGGCCCGAACAGAGCTGCCTGCCCTCCGCTACCGTTTCAACGCGCCCATTGCCCGAGATGCCCTGCCCCCCTACTCCTGGCACTACGTGCCCTGGACGAAGTGCTCAGCCCAGTGTGCAGGCGGTGAGGCTAGCATGGGATGGCGGGGGGACAGGCACTGGTCGCCGGGCTGACCTTCTGGGCCAGGCAGGGCTGAGCGGGCCTCTCGCCCGCCCCCAGGCAGCCAGGTGCAGGCCGTGGAGTGCCGCAGTCAGCTGGACAGCTCAGCCGTGGCCCCCCACCACTGCAGTGCCCACAGCAAGCTGCCCAGGAGGCAGCGTGCCTGCAACACGGAGCCTTGCCCACCAGAGTGAGTGCCGGTCGGGGTGCGGGGTCGGCGTGACAAGCCCCGGGGTGATATGCTCCCTAAGGCGAGATCAGGGTTCTCCCAGATTCAGAACCACGGTCCTCCCTAGTCAAGTCTGGGTAATCATCTCCCCTTGGGGTGATGCACCTCCCCGCCCCCAATCTGGGTGCAAAATTTTGCTGTTCAAGTTCTGGATGGGAAGCAACAGGCATCCCGCTGCCAGTTTCCATAATGATGCTGGTTGTAAGGCAGGAGGACCTGTTAGCGCTCCAGGTTCAGGGGTCCCTGCCCTGCGTACTCTCAGACCCCCATCCCCCTCCCCACAGCTGGGTTGTAGGGAACTGGTCGCGCTGCAGCCGCAGCTGTGATGCGGGTGTGCGCAGTCGCTCTGTCGTGTGCCAGCGCCGCGTGTCGGCCGCCGAGGAGAAGGCGCTGGACGACAGCGCGTGTCCGCAACCGCGCCCGC